CTATGGGTGTTAGGGTGTTAGGGTTTAGGGTGTTAGGGTGTTAGGGTTTAGGGTTTAGGGTTTAGGGTTAGGGTTTAGGGAACAAAACGCATCATGTTACAGCTGTTACAGGCTACTCAGAGAGCCGCTTCGCGCCTATTTGTTTCCCCAGAGTTTCCAGGCAGGTGACCGCTTCGCAGCCGGCGGCGGCCACCTCCATTGCTTCCTGGCAAGATCTCTAGAGACCCTAAGGGTTTCTTGAGGTTTATAATAGGTATTGGTTTAGGGTTTAGGGTTTAGGGTTTAGGGTTTAGGGTTTAGGGTTGTCAGTTTGGGGGTTCGGGTTTAGACGGGCTGTAAGTGTACGCTTTGGGCTGCAGGGTTTGGTGACATGCAGCTACAGCTTGAGGGTCGACTGATCCGCATCTGAGCCCCAAACGCCGACCCCTTGCGAAAGCCTACCCCCTTGCATAGAAGTCACAATAAAGAGTGGTTTGAGATGGGTTTTGGGTTGTTGCCCCTAAACCCTAAACCCTGAACCCCTAAAGTATAAACAGTAACACTTGCGGAAAAGAGGCTGCCTGAAAAACTTTTTTAAAGAGGAGTTTATTGGGGGAGTTGATAGGAGTTTATGGGAGTTCAGGGTTAATCGGTTTAGGGTTTAGGGTTAATCGGTTTAGGGTTTAGGGTCTAGGGTTCATTCATAGGGCTTAATACTTGCATGATTTAGGTTTGGTGTTTAGGGCATGAAGCTTCCAGTAAAGGGCTTTGAAACCTTGGATTTACAGGGCTTAGGGCCTAAAAACCCTAAACTCACAAGACGATGCCTTCTTCGGACGCTCGATGTCATCGGTCAAGAAGTTGTAGAGCCTTCGTTGCTGAGTCCATAAGCTTAGGGTTCAGGGTTTAGGGTTTTGAGGGTTTGGGGTTTAGTGTTTAGGGTTTAGGGTTTAGTGTTCAGGGTTTCGGGATATAAGCCTAAACAAATGAATGTACACTTTCAGTTCTACAAGGGGCTATATGATCCCCGCACAAGAGTGTACTGTACACATTCAGTTCTGTAAGGGATCATCTAAAAACCCCAAACCCCTAAACCCCAAACCGAAAAAGCGTTAAAGTGCACTCGCCCTAAACCCAAACCCCTAAACCCTAAACCCAACAACCTTAAACCCTATAAGCCCTATAAGCCCTTTCAGCCCTATGAGCCCTATAAACCCTATAAACCCTAAAAAGCTCATAAACCCTATAAACCCCATAAACCCCCTAAACCCTAAACCCTATAGACCATATAAGAACGACAAAGGAGCTTCAAGAGCTCTTTGGAGGAGGTCCCCATCTCGAGAAGCCCGGGAGCTCGCGACAGAGCCTCCTTGCGTTTTGGGCCTAGGGTTTAGGGTTTAGGGCTTTATAGGGTTATATAGGGTTTATAAGGTTTATAGGGTTTAAGGGTTTACAGGGTTTATAGGGTTTAGGGTTCAGGGCTTTTAGGGCTTCTGTAGACTTTTGGGCTTACGGTTTAGGGGTTTCAGGGCTTTCCAGGCTTTTTGGGGGTTTTGGGCTTAGGGTTTAGGGTTCAGGGCTTTTCGGGCTTTGGGGTGCTTAGGTTTTAGGGTTCAGGGCCTGTAGGGCTTTTGTAGGGTTTAGGGTTTGGGGTTTCAAAGATCTTAAGGCCTGAACCTGCAACCCAAGATCCCTCAAACCACGCAAAGGATCTGCACAGGATTTCAAGCCCAGAATCTTTAATCCGGGCCCTCCATCCAACACCCTAAACTTTAGCCCTAATCCCTAGCCATAAGCTCCAAACCCGCGAACTCAGACACCCCTCGCCCCCCTGAACCTCGAAAAGCACTGGCCTTGATCACTTTGAGTAGAACTTTCTTGGGCTCATGCGGAGATACTGTTAATTAGGGGCATTGACAACATGTTAAAATTAGGGGCATTGACAACATTTTCTCAAACCCCCTCCTCCTTGTAAAGGCAGAGGCCTTTTTCGACGTTACAATCATGGAGCACCCAAAACATGTTGCTGAGCTGGGCCGGGTCCAGCGCCTTCTTCGCGTAGTCAAACCTGTGAGCTGTGAGCTGAAGGAGTTTAGGGCTTTAGGGCCCTTTTTGGGGGCTCTAGGCTTCGAGGAGTGGTCAGCTTCTTATAAGGCTTAGGTGTTAGCGCTCCTGTAGGGTTTAGCATGGTTGGGTGTAGGTTACCAGAGTACATGATCTTGGGAAGACTACCGGTCCGAGTTGACGATTCGCGGGGGATTTTCGGATTGATATATTTCTTACTCCAGCGCATTCGAGTTCTCGTGTCCAGCCACTATTAAACAGTAAAGCCTTTTAACGATCTAACCCCTAGCCATAACTCCTACACTGTGATACTCCAGGCCCAGGAACATCTTCGGAATGGCATCACCCTGGGGGAGGGCAAGACCACCTGTGAGCTCCTGGTACAACTTCTTCAGATACGGCAGGGTGGCGCCACAAGTCTTCAGGTTCCGCGACCTTGGTGCTCTGCTATAGGGATAGATAGAAAGGCACCCCCTGTCGTCTTCTTGTTCCACCATGGGAGCTTCAAAACAAGAACACTGAGACCACGACTCCTTCTGTGCCCACCACCCCGCATCCGCATAGCTCAGCCCCACTTCAAGGAGCCAGGAAGAAAGCTCCGCCTCTGGATCGCGAGCTTCTGAGATCCCGGCCTGCATGGTGACGGCGTCATCCTCGGGTTTCTGAAAGGACACTGGAACGAAGTCTGACGTTGACTCTCTCGTGGTTGCCTGGACCCAATAAGTCACCGCTATAGGGAGCCCCCTGTCCTTGTTCCGGAGAGCCGTTGCTGGAAGCATCAGCATCACCAGGGTCATCGCGAAGGTCGAGCGCGCCATGGCGAGAGATCGACTACAACGAAAACGTGCTTGGCAGACAAACAGGAGCTCTAAGCCCCAGTGGCTTTGAGTCGGAAGCTGCAGATGTCACTCCTCTAGACCACGCCCTGTGGCCGGGGGGGGGGTCTGCGGGTCGACCAGATGCCATTAGCAGATAAAAGAGCAGGAGGTGCTACGAAACCCTTACATCCCCTAATCCCGAAATCCCCCAAGGCCTCCTTAGACTGCGTATGTGCACCACAGGCTATCACACACTCTGTTCATGCTGCTGACGCGACCACCGGGCCCACACGGCATCATTTCAAAGGAACATTGCTAGAAGGAACTGCCCACACTGGAAAAGCGAAGGCACGTGCAGAAAGACAAATGGGATCCTCGCCCCCCAAAGTTCAAGCGCGTAGGCATTGAGCTCTCTATCTTCAGGCACTCTGAGGCTCCATGGACCTACAGAGTATATAGGGTTTAAGGTTTAGGGCTTAGGGCGTAGGGCTTAGGGTTTAGGGGGCTTAAGGTTTCGGGAGTTTAGGGGGTTTTAGGGTTTAGGGTCCATATTTCGGGGTCCCTCCTCGAAACTCTCACAGCATGAGGATGGGCGCCATTCTCGAGGAGGGGGAAGATTGATGTGCGTATTGTAGACATGGATACGAAGATCCCTGCGACAGAAACAGATTTCAATCCAGGGAGCGCGACTTGTTTCTTCACCGGCTCTTTGAAATCTCAGCATCGCTTGATCAGGCGTGGCTGGCTGCTGTGCACTCTTTGCAGAGTGCCACCGGTGATTCGGCCCATTTCCTTGGTGTGTCCAAGGGATCCCAAAGGACTTGAGTTCAAGCGGAAGTGCCCGAAGGAGAAACCAGGAACAGGGTTCAGGCCCGTTTAAGCTTGCGGGGATTTAGGATTTGAAGCTGTAGGATGTATCTAGGGTGCTCGGGTTAAAGGGACAATGTAAAAGGACCGAGCTTCTGCTGCCACTCGGACTCAGGAAAGAAGTAGCTGGCAAACTCGTCCAAGGTGTAGACCCCTCCATCAGGTTCCGTAATGCGCCTTTGCGTTGCCCACGTTGCTGCGTTCCACTTGGACCTTTGCTGGAATGGCCCTGCAAGACACGTTTCGTCTGTCGGAGCGTCTGTCGGCACAAGCACGAAGACTGAATGCGGCTTTGGCGGTATCCTAGGGGCCCCCTGGAAGTGATCGGAAACTGTTTAACATCTATTAACTGGCACCGATAAAGCTTAATCCACTTCCGCTACTGTAGTGGCCTGAATAATTAGAATAGCGTTTTGGGGTACGTGATGCTATGATTGTTATTTTAAGGAACCTCAAAATAGTATAGAGGCCCGATATAACCGGCAGCGACAACACCAAGGGAAGGGTTCTCGGTTCAGGGCTCGGAGAAGGCACAAGCAAGGCAGTAGATTCAGTAGATGTTTGTCTTGGGAAGGCATTGAGGAGTCGATTCTCCAAGTAGATGACTCAGCTAGCCCCGCCAGGACTAAAACAAAGACACTGGGAAATATGATCCTCGTTGACCCCAAAGGAGATCAGGAAAATCTCGCAATCCTTTCAGGTCCATGTACCAAATAGTATATACTTTGGCCCCACAGTAGCTTTAGAAGGACTACTTTACGGCCAAAGTTACACTGGTTGGGCCCTTCGCCCTTACGGATGGCCTACCCAATTTATCGACTCCCGAATGGCCGGGAAATTCAACGCCGCAAATCCTGAACCCTGAACCCTAGGCCCCTAAAACCCATGAGCCCCCAAACCCTAAACTTCTAAGCCCG